CATGATGATTTTCAAATCACTTTTCGTTTTGAGCATCTAATAATTCTTCATCTTGAACATGGTTTTAAGATAATGTGATTGAGTTTTCAAGATCCATCAGGTGGGAAAACAATATTTTTTACCCTTGTACATGATCCAACAAAACCTGTTTCATTTATGAAGGAGATAGATATGGTGGATGATTAAAGGTCAGTCAGTCACTTGACTGCTTTATGCTGGAAATTTGATCAATCTCCAGACAATGAAAATGAACTAGCAGTGTCTCACTTACCAATAAAGCCTGCAGAATAGGCTTATATAAAGGCTTTGTCTTGCATAATTCTTTTTGCAGTGACTTTGATATGTGCGTTCTCTGCTTTGTACATAGAGATATACATAATTACATATATATACACATATATAAATACACCCACCCTTTACAAGAATTTGAATATTAGTGATTATATGAATCCTTCTTGATCTTCAGCTGCATCTCCAACATGTGATAATGCAGGTTCTGCAGATACTCAATGGAAACATCAGCTGCATAAAATCGATAAAAAGATGTCGAATGCAATTCTTTCGAAAGGCTTTTCGAGAAGAACTCTCGAGTGGAGATGAATATTTTAAGTCACCCACAAACTAAAACCAATCACCATTATCGAGCAAGCTGGTTTAGACGCTTTCCCATCAATTCTTTCGCGTACATACCTCGAAGCAAGACGAGAAGACATTAATGGTGTGCTTTCAAAATATTGCCAAACTATAACATATACTTCTCTCTGGATTTTGCTCAAAGAGCAGAAAAAGATAAGTTAGATGGAATTTTCTGTACATATAAAGAAATTAAAGAGAAACTCATAAGAGAAAAAGTAAGAAAAATTAAAACTTTGAGAGTAGATTCATTCGAAGAATTATCGTAAAATATTATTTTTTCGAAAAATTTTTGGTATTGTTATTATTATTATTATTGTAATTTACGCAAGTGAAATAAAGGAATCCTTAGGAACAGATAATATTAAGATGAGTATTTGTAAATATCATAAATTATATTTCTGATTTTAAAATGAAAAAAGTTTTGGTTTTTCTCGATGATGTAATTTCCCTTGCCGTGTATGCCACGATTTGTCGTGCGCGTGGAGAGTAAATATCAGATGAGTTGGAATTATCAAATTTTAACAGTCACGCCACTTCCGGCACCCGCACGCAACTCCGACCCGGCGACCCGACCTGCCCAACCGAAGGCGTAATTGACTGGTGTACTTGATTGGTCACACCTTTTTTCTCTCCTAGGAATTTTTTAATTATTTCTAATAATTTTGTCTTGAGTCTAATAATTAAAAAATTATTATTATTATTATTATGTGATTATTTAAATAATTAAGTTATGTAAAAATCATATTAACAAAATTATTTTTTAAAATATAAATACATGTATTTAATTAATTTGGTAATACCAAATTTCTTACTATACATAATTTTTTATTAAAAAATATATAATAATGTGTCGCGCATATTTTATTAAATATTATAATCTTATACATAAATTTTTTAAAATATACAAAATAAATTACAAATAATGTTATTCTTTAATTTATTTTATTTTATCTTTAATATTTTAATTTATTTATTTTTTTAAATAAATGGGGGAAAATTCAAAAATTAAAAATTAGAGAAGCCGACATTCCAATTTCTAAGCTTTGTTGTTTCCAAACTGTTTGGCAGACCATATTTACCTACCGTTACACCCACATGTACAAGCACGCACAATTATTTCGGAAGTGACATCACTAACAAAATCAAATATTACATATATTTTAATAAATTAAATTAAATATAATTCATAATTGGAAATTATAAATTGGGAAAATATTATATATTAAAATTAAATTAAATATAATATACCCCACACGAAAAAGTACATAACATATATGATTTAATTTTCATATTTAATAATAAATTATTGTACCAATTTAATAATAAATGATGTGTAGGAGATTGGATAAAACTTGGGTTTCAAGTCATCTCGAGGTGGCCGTCAACCCCAAAACCTTATCATATCGGTATAATGCAACTTTAATGTTGACCACAAAGCCATCAATTTAATATACTCTACCAATGTATGTATAATATTAACAATCCAATAGAATATTAAATTTTATAATAATATTTTTATATTATTTAATTTAATTAAGTTAAAAATCTAATTATTTAATACATTAAGAAAATAATAATTAAATTGAGTTGATTGAATTAAATTAAATTAAATTTTAATAAATAAATTTATAAAAATATTATATAACAGTTAAATTTTATTTACTAAATTAATTACTATTTAAATCCGAATTAGTTATTAAAACATTAAAATCACTAACTCTATTAAAGTAAAAATTAATTGACATCCAAGTTGAATTTTTTATTTTAAAAAATATTTTAAAAAATTTATAAAAATAAATAAATAAATAAATAACATCGAGTAATTACAAAGTTGATTGCAGCCCATACCCAATTCCAAGCCCAAGTCTATGTAAAGTAAAAATAAACCCACTAATTTTTTTTTTTTTTAAAATCACACTGAAATAATTATTAGATAAAGCGAGAGTTCAAAATTCAAAATTCAAAATTAATATTTTTAATGTAGAAAAGATTAAAGATAATTATTGGGCTAAATCCAATTTGGTTTTGAATATTTTAAATTTAAATATTATTTGAAAATAATAAATATAAGGTTTTATGTAATTTATTTATTATTTAAAATTAGCGAGAAATGTCTCACATGTTATTTTAAAAATAGAAAAAAAAAAATGGAGAAAGCCGTATTTATATTTTTTGGAAAAAACAAAGTTATAATAAAAATTAAATAATTTATATAATTATTTTGTTTAATATTTGTTTATTTACTACCTAACAATGCACAGTAACAAAGCGAGGGAGCAGCACAAGGAAGAGTTTACAGAGAGAAAGCGAAAGCAGGAGAGAGAGAGGGGGAGAGATAAAGTGAAGAGAAGAAAAAACCGGAGAGAGAGAGAGTCCCAGAAAGTTAAACTTGAGAAACAGTGACGAGAGAGAGAGAGAGAGATGCAGAGCTGTGGATAAATACTGAAGTATTTGATAGATACAGGGAGAGTTCCATGTATTCTGCTCTGATTACTTTTCATACGCCTTATTGTGAAGGCTTGCCAAGTCAAACCTCGCAAAAGCAAGAGAGGAGTTGTAATAATTCGTGAACTGCTACGGTGATTGGTTTGTATTTGAAAACTGCGATCGGAAGAGTCATCGGATGATATTTCCGATCGTCGGAGATCGGAGGATATGCTCGGAGGCGGAGCTGGGGGATTCGGTGGTTGCTGCTTCGGGGGAGTCAAGCGGTGACGTGGCTCATGTTGAAAATAGGAGGAGGTGGTGGTGGTGGTGGAGGAGGTGGAGGAGAAGTAAAGTTGTGGTTGTAGTTGGAAGAGGAGGATGAAGAAAGGGAAAGGGAGGAATAACGGCTTATTGCCGAATTCGCTGAGGATTATATCTTCTTGCCTCAAGACGGTGTCGTCTAATGCCAGTAACGTAGCTTCTTCAGTTCGCTCCGCTGGTGCTTCCGTTGCTGCTTCTATTTCTACTACCGAGGATCACAAAGATCAGGTCTCTTTTTCTTTTTGGTTCAATCGTTCTCCTCCATGTTTTGGTTCTTTGTTGGACTGTGCATTTGACATAGTTTAGATGCTTTAAATATTAGATGACCTACTGTAGAGAGGAAGTTTTAGGTTTCATATTTGATTAAACGAAGATGAGGAGCAGTAACGTGTTAAATCAATTCTCTTCGAGTCTACTGTAGTACTGATACATAGCACGACTTAGTATGCTCCGTCTCGTGTAGAAATGCTGAATTTTGGGAAAGGAATAAGTTGTGAATATAAATTTAAAGACTATCATTTATACAATCTTTTGCCCGACAGCTCTTTGGTTAATTAAACTAGGTGATGGCGGTTCTTGTCTTAGAAGTACTAGAACTGATAATGGGCTATTAAACACACGCCATAACCCAACTTTGTGATGTTTGCAGGTATTAATGTTTGATTAAACACCCATGGGACGTAAGCTCTTGGTCAATTGCTTTATAATCTTAAAGTGAAAGATGTATCAATTCTCTATCTGATAATTTCTAGTTTATAGAAAATTTAGCTAACTTGTGTTGTTAATAGTAAAGGGAAGCTAGAAGAAGAATATGGTTTTTTATGCGAATTCTTTTTTCCTTATCTATTTGCTTATGCTGAGTCAAATTATGCTATTGAGGCTGACCTTCAAAACTTTAGCTCAGGGAAGACACAAATGTGGGAACTGTCAAATTTGTTCATGGTAGATTGTAGTTGGTTCAGAAAAGAAAAATTTATATGGTTGATCATAAATTTTTCAAATCATAAATTTTTTAAGTGGCATCACCTGCTTTTGTTGTGCTTATCTCCATTAATGCCAGTTGGACAGGACCTCAAGCTCGCCGAGCCAGTGGGAAGCGCATTTGGGACCATGATATACTTTTACACTTTTTCTTTTTTTTTTAAAAAAAACTAGAGTGCTTGACCATAAAAACTGTTTGTGGCCTTGTTCTGAGTGTTGTTGTTTCCATGATTTTGCTTATTTACTGGAGAACGAGTTTTTGATTAATTTTGTTAACCACACGAGATGTGGGGGTATTATGTTTGTTCTTGGAATGGTAGTTGTTACTGTATGATGAGTTGAAACTATGAGCTTTCTTGTTGTAGCAGGAGTTCTCTTTAGTATTTGGCCACATTTTCTGTTTCATCCTCTTTTCCCCTCATTATTAGTTGTTGTGTAATTTTTACCAGTTTTACTGAAACATGCCTTAAATCGTCCATTGTCTTGTCATTTGCCCTTTTATACTTTATTCTGTGTGACAAATAATTTCTGAAATCACTGGTACTAGCTTTGTTATTGTTTGCTTCATTTTATTGGAGTCATGTTTAAACTAGGACAAAGTTCTAAACTATTGTCGAACAGGTGACATGGGCTGGCTTTGATAAGCTGGAGGTTGGTCCATCTAGCTTCAAACAGGTTCTATTGCTTGGTTATCAGAATGGCTTTCAAGTCTTTGATGTGGAGGATGCCTCCAATTTTAATGAACTGGTCTCAAAGCGTGAAGGTCCAGTTTCTTTCTTACAGATGCAACCATTACCTGCAAAATGTAATGGTCAAGAAGGCTTTAGAAGATCACATCCTTTATTGTTAGTTGTTGCTGGAGATGACACTAACAATGTAAGCTTGGGGCCAAATCGTGCCCATTTGAGTATATCTAAAGATGGTAACATAGATTCTCCATCAGGAAACTGTGTCAGTTCTCCTACAACTGTTCGGTTTTTCTCCCTTCGATCTCATTGTTATGTGCATGTTCTGAGATTTCGATCATCTGTATGCATGGTTCGATGCAGTTCGCATATCGTTGCTGTTGGTCTTGCAACCCAAGTAAGTATTTGCTAGTATGGAAGTTAGATTTTTCTCGATTTTTCTCTTTTTTCTTCTGATCTTAAGAATGGGATAGGACTTGAAATTTTAGGGTAGAATATTATTTGATGGTACCATCAACAGAACCTGAGGCACGACATATAGAAGTGAGAATAAAGTGATTGACTTATCCTGGCCAAGAAATTATCAGACCATGTTAGTCATGATAGAGGCTTTATTTTCTTTACTTCCTTTGGAAGTTTTAACTTCTGATTTATTTGATTTTAGCCGGAAACAAATCTTAATGTTTTAGATGATTTTGTAGTTTCTGTTACAAACAAATTATAGTATTACCATATTCTGTTGCCAGTGACAGGAATTGCTTCATGACTGATATATCTTTTTGGTTGGCAACAGATATATTGCTTTGATGCACTGACACTGGAGAATATATTCAGCGTTCTCACCTATCCTGTTCCACAGTTGGCAGGCCAAGGAACAGTTGGGGTTAATGTTGGATATGGTTCCATGGCATTGGGTCCAAGGTGGCTGGCTTATGCATCCAACAATCCACTGTTGTTGAACACAGGCCGTTTAAGTCCACAAAACCTTTCTCCTTCTTCAGGTGTTAGTCCATCTACATCACCAGGTGGCAGTAGTTTGGTGGCTCGTTATGCAATGGAGTCTAGCAAGCAGCTAGCTGCTGGGTTAATCAATCTGGGGGACATGGGGTATAAAACATTGTCAAAGTACTGCCAAGAGCTCCTTCCTGATGGGTCTAATTCTCCAGTAACACCTAACTCAATATGGAAAGTTGGTAGAGTGGGTGGAGCAGAAGTAGACAATGCGGGGATGGTTAGTTTTAGTCTAATTTTCTCATATGCTTTCAGTAAAACGTATAATTATGTTTTAGTTTAGGCATGTAAGAAATGACAATTGTTTCCCTAATTTGATAAATTCATTTGTTATCTGGGGTTGTTGATCCTCTGGATAATGTGTCCATGTCCAAAATTGTGATGCTTCTATCATGGGTAACCTAAATCTGCTTTCGCCAACAATATTGTGCTTATTTAGAAGCTATATTTGTGTTCTTTATATTCAAGATACTGCTCTCTAGGAAGCACTCTAAAAATATTGGTCGTTACCTGTACCATTCAAGATTTTATTAACATTGCTGGGCCAAGTCTTGGAACATTATGAAAGAATTCATATATTAGCTTCCTTGCTACTTGTTTGGTTTCTAAACAGTATAAATGAGGCCATGATGTTATGTTTTATTTATACAAGTAAAAATTTAAAACATTGAAAAGTAAAAGAAAAATAGAGTGTGATGTTATCATTAAATACCGGGAGACCTTTGGCCTGTGGTTTTGTGCTGTAGTAAACATTCCAAACCACGTAAAATATTATGCACCGTAGATAACTAACTTTGTTATGATTTAAATGTTTGACTGTAGGTTGTTGTCAAGGATATTGTCACTCGAGCTGTTGTATCACAATTTAAGGCTCATACAAGTCCCATTTCTGCATTAACTTTTGATCCTAGTGGAACCCTTCTGGTTACTGCTTCAGTATATGGGAACAACATAAATATTTTCCGGCTCCTTCCATCTTATACACGCAGTGGAAGTGGTGTTAAAAGCTACAACTGGAACTCTTCTCATGTGCATCTCTACAGACTGCATCGAGGAATAACATCTGCTGTTAGTATGCTTTTAACTTGTCTATTCTCTTTGTTTCATTAATGATCTGTGGTCATGTTTCATTTGTGCTTTTCCACGTGACAGATGATCCAGGATATTTGCTTTAGTCATTATAGTCAGTGGGTTGCAATTGTTTCATCAAAAGGAACTTGTCATATTTTTGTTTTATCCCCATTTGGTGGGTGATGCTGGGTTTTCAAACTGTAAATTCTCATGGGGAAGAGCCCTCACTGTTTCCCGTATTGTCTCTACCTTGGTGGTCTACCCCATCTTTCACCAATAATCAACAATCATTTCCACCTCCACCTCCCGTTGCCCTCTCTGTGGTGAGCAGAATAAAATACAGTAGTTTTGGATGGCTTAATACCATAAGCAATGCCGCTGCTTCTGCAACTGGGAAGGTTTTTGTGCCATCTGGTGCTGTTGCTTCTGTTTTCCATAATTCTATATCATACGGTGTTCAGCATGTTAACTCAAGACTCAATTCCTTAGAGCATCTGTTGGTTTACACTCCATCAGGTCATGTAGTGCAACATGAGCTTCTGCCATCTGTTGGGGTAGAACCAAATGAGAGTGGTTCAGGAACCCGAGCAACTTCATTTGTACATGCACAAGAGGATGACCTGAGGGTCAAAGTTGAACCTGTCCAGTGGTGGGATGTCTGTAGAAGGTCAGATTGGCCTGAAAGGGAGGAATGCCTTCCTGAAACCACCTATGATGGACATGATGCTACTGACATCAGTCCAAATAAATCATCTTGTGATGATGTTTATGGAATGGATCTTCTGGACATCGATGACAATATGGGGGGACAAAAGGCTACAAAAACTTATTCCGTAAAGCCTCATGAGAGGTCCTATTGGTACCTTTCAAATGCGGAGGTGCAAGTGAGTTCAGGGAGGCGACCAATATGGCAGAATGCCAAGGTATTTCCTCAGATAAAATTTGCATTGCCAGTATTTTGTGTCATATCTATGTTTTGATTTGTTCTTCGTGGTTCTAGGTTTCTTTCTACACGATAGATTCTCCCAGAGTTAATAGGTCTTTTGGAGGAGAGTTTGAAATTGAAAAGATCCCAACCCATGAAGTTGAAATTAGACAGAAAGAATTATTGCCTGTTTTTGACCATTTCCATAGCATCAAGTCAGGCTGGAATGACAGGTGACAGATACTCTTTTCTTTTAAATTTTCAACCTTTGCATTTTGATGAGTATCACGGGTTGCTTATATATGTTTCCTAGTTGAGATTTCTG